TGGATGGATGAGGGTAATTGTTTTTAGTTTTAAAATAGTTTAAAAATCTACTGCTGTATAAGTGTTGTGTGTACCACATTATTGAGTCACTGTAATGGATATGTTAGCATTTTTTTTTATATAATAACTATATGATAAATCATTGCGTATGAAAAACGATTTTGAGAAGAGACGGACTTGTTTTTTTAGTAACTTGTATGGGTATTTTAATATAGGTATTTATATTGTTATTTCGTAATTAATTTTTCTATTAGTCATATTATGGGTAGGTTTGTTGCTAAAACAAATTGTATATAATAATATTATATTATTATTTCTTGTAATTTTTGCAGTTGTTATTAAGAGGATGTCTGTACAGTTTTTTTTCTCTCTCTAACCCACGCTCAACATACATAATGTGTGTTTAGCAGAACCGACCTTGTGTTGTTATCTTTAGTTTTAGGGTGATTTGACCTATTATATAACAAAGTTAAGAACATGTCGGATATGTGAATTTTTAAACTGTAAAATTGTATACACTCATAACAGTCATAACCGGGGTTTGGGATTTAGAGAACCTATACATAAAAAAAAGCACTTAAATACTTCATATACCTGAGCATTCATATAAGAACTTAAAAATATTATAATAAGCAAAAAAAAGCACGACAGAAACTATATCAACACAAGTTTTTTCTATATTGTCGTTTAATTTTTTATTTTATTTACAGAGCCTGTTCAGTTTGCGGGGAAAAATTACAATGCATATCGTGATTTACCACCACACATGCAAATGGTGTATAGGGTAAGATCAAAGAAAATAATGTCTGACTGGGCTTATGACGAAAGTCATGACCGTCGTTTAAATGTTGTCAACAATTATAAAATTGAGGTACGTTCCAACATACCACCTAAACTGTAAAATATTTTCTGTTGTCAAGTACCTATATATAATTTCTATACTTACAGTTGATAGCGTGGTCCCGCTGATAGCCACCTCCTCGGGTTCTCCAAGCCGAGGCCCTGAATCAGTTGTATTTCTGCCTCCTTCTGTTTATACACACGACCGCGGTCATGACGTGCTCCGCCGACGGGACGTGTTCTACTGTTGTTTACAATTAAAATAGCTACCGCGGTGCACGACTTTTCATGTGCTCCGCGACGTGTTGTAGCTGCTGTTTGTATTGTTTGTGTAATGTTTATCTCATGTTTTCTAATGCCTAATAAACGAATCTAAAGTGTAACTAATTGTTTTAATTTCTGACACCCTTAATTTTAGTAGCTAAAACACGGTTATTAAAAACGAGTGTTTGGGCCGGAAACGAACAACAATAGACCTTGGTATCCACAATACTTCGTATCGCATCCACACCCCAAAGACCTGCGTATGATGAGTGCATACATGTATTCGCAATTCGGTCGAAGTGGACGGGTTCACCGAGCAAGACTATCAAAGACTTGCTCGGCAAGGCTAGTGTGTGGTGGGTGTGTAAATGTGTGTGTACATATGTGTGGGTGACGGGCGTGTGCTGAAATAACTACTAACAACAGAAATGTAACTCAAAAAAAATGGTAACTAAAACATAACGGTATTTAAATATTGCTGTATTACAGTAAAAAAACGACAGATAAAATAATAATTAAGCACGGACCGTAACTCGTAAGCCAAAACAGTACGATACGTATAATAATATGTGGCCCTCATCCTGGCCAGACAGAATAAAATATAGGTATATCGTCGTTTGAGCAGTAAGCTCGTAAAAACTATAATAATAATAATATGTATAAAAACTCTCAAGCTTGCTACTTGTGCCTGTTTAAATAATTTGACACAAAAACAAATATAATAATATAATATATGGCGATTCGCGCCCTTCACACAGGGCTGGACTGGGTCAAAAATGTCTACCGGGATACTAAAAAATCGGCCCACTAAGGTCTAACCTATAAAAACAAAAAAAAACATATGTTTTCATATACAATGATTGTATATTATTTTGAGAATTTGAACACTTAATATTATTATTAAAATTAAAAATTGGTTAGTACCTACAAATAAATGTTATAATTTTTATTTATAATACATAATATGTTTAGACTCCAGAAATCAGAATACACATTAATACATATTAAGCAATTTAAAGTCAACGACAATCCAAACACGTCATAGCCCATGGGTATAACCCTTGTGCTTGTGGTTTACATATATATTGGGTGGGGTTTGTAGGTTGGTTTATATATTCCAAATACATTTTTAAGAACGGTGTATTAGTGTGGATATATTACCATACACGCCATATAAGGGCATAGGCCATAGTTAATCATTAGTATTACTATAGTAGCTATAATATTATATAATTTATACGCAATATAGGTACATCTAGATTCTAAATATTGTATTAACTAACGCAACTAAGAGTTTGCATTTTTAATTAGGTAGGTACCTACTTACTTTAACATTTTCAAAAAAATTATCCACTTAATAATTTAAAAAGAAAGGGGTGTTCTCATTTGAAAAATAAAATATTTTGTTATCTTAGGACACTCCTTAAAAGTATTGAAAATATGGTTTGTAAATATAGATTCATTATTAAAGGAAAAAGTAGGGGTGAGCATGCTTATATAGTGTATCATTCTTTATCTATCTATAGTGTATATATGTACATATATACAGGCACGGCACTAGAATTTTTTTCCAGGGGGGGCAGAGTGGGGCAAATATTTTTTTTACATGGGCTAAAATTGTTTCAACAAATGCTGAGGTTATTTAAATGAAATATAAATATTTTCGTATCATATAATTTAATATAGCTATTAGCTATATAGTACATACGTTTTAATCGTTTTATATTGTATGCTCTAAACGTCTAAACATATAATATTTACAAACTTTTGAATAGTTAAAAATGTTTTAAGAATAATATCAAATATTTTTTTTGTACCTTATGTAATATGTAAGAAAATGTTTAATCACAGACCTAAGACCTTCAACAACTATATTCATAATGATAATATGATATACAAAAATAATAATTTCTTTATGAGCTAAATATTGATTTTTTATAGAATATCTGTTTATGCACCATACAGTAAATGATTGAAAATCTTTTAATATTGAAAAAGTTAACAAAAATGTATACAATTGCACTGATATCAGTAGGAATACAATTTGTTTTAAATAAAAACTTTTGATTACCTACCTTATATTTAACTAGTACATTTTAAATTTTTAATTCAATACATTTTTAAATTGGTATTTGCATAGTAGTGTATGTATTGACTATTGAAGTACCTACTTTATATTTTTTGTTAAATTTTGGAGGTTAAAATAGTTCATATATATACATTAAAACATAGATACTTTAAGAAATCTTTTTTTATTAATTATCAAGTAATATGTGAACTAATTACCATGACAAATAAGATTATAAGAATAACAAAATAAGAAAATTGAATAAATTATTTAATTATTTGAAATAAGAAATTTGTCATGCTAATTACTAAACTAATATAAGTAGGTAGGTACGAATACCAACTCCTTACACAATAGTATTGTGTTAATCAAACATAAACATATTTAAAATAATAAGTCAACTAAAAATATTTTTAACTGTATACAACAAACATTAATTATATCGTACATATTTTTCAGTGGGGGGGCTGGCGAGGGGGCTGATCTGTTTTCTGGGGGGGCTAGAGCCCCACCTTGCCCCCCCTTGGCGCCGTGCCTGCATATATAATATAATATATTATAGGTAAACGAGAAAGGTCACACTCTGACTAAACACCAAATCTCGAAAACTACTTGACTTATGGAGTATGGAAGCTAATTTTGTATGTAATTAATGTTCCTATAATCTATATAAATAATTAATATTAAAATACATTGCATGTTATTTAAATTATCGATACATCAAAACATTAAAATTAAAATACACAAAATCAAAATATATTAACCTTAAAATATTTTCATATAATATGTTAAAATACTAAATATTATAAGAACATTTATATAAAATAACATTTCTTTAGTACGGGCCACGCCGTGCGAGACAGCTAGTATATCTGTATAGGTATACTAATAATATTAATATATTATACATTATATAAACAATAGTTTCTCTCTAAAGTACCCAATCAAATTATAGATATGACTATATGAGGTATACTCACACTAACAGATTAATGAAAAAATGTAAATATGTCAGCATTAAAATTGCAGAATTCAAGCCAGTAGTCACTAATTCGAGGGAGTTCCACCCACCCACACACACACTCCAAAAGTTGCCTTAAATTATACAATATGAATAAATAAATGTTACATTGTTATCTGAGATTAAATGTTGTGCTAAAACAAAATGTACCCTTAAAAACTGTTTTGCGAACCTATACCATTCAATACATAATCGTCTAAGTATTACAATATAATGGTCTTTCATTTTTTAAAAATAATTTTATAATAACCAAAACTAAAACAAAATTCTTAAAAATATACAATAATAGGTTTAAAATTGAAAAAATTAGAAATTTTACAAGCATCACTTAGTTATCACTATTACTCCTATAGTTTATATTTTATAAATATTTTTAACTTATAAATGCTATTTTATAGTTGAATAAATTAAACTATATTTATTAGTATTTACGTATTTTTATAAGTTTTAAAATTACCGCCAAAATATGGGTATTTAAATGACGAAGGAGATTATAGTTAGTATGGGATCTATATGTCTATGAGGTTCTAAATGTCCAAGGGGATCCAGTTGACGTACGGGGATCTACTTGTCGCGGGATCTAGGTGGTACGTAACCCCCAAAACAAAATATTTTCATAAAAATTGTATACTATCATATTGTGCTATCATGGTTATGGATTATGGAACGACCTTATCACTTTATCAGTTATCTTTCTTAAGATTGCAGTGGCCAGTGACTGAAAAATAGTAAATTACTAAAAATGTAAATTTGTAAATATTGTTTAATTAATAATAATATGATTTTATAAGTAAAAACAATATCAACATGTTCAAACTACAATATAATACCAGAGTGTGCTTTTTCCGCCACTTGAAATTCAGTATCGGTTACACGATAGAAACAAAATACCCGAGTACAAGTCGTGCCGCTTCTAAATCTGTAGTAGTTGATGGTAAATCATACAATGAAGACGAATATACGAATGTCACGCCCAAAATATTATCGTTTATCGGTACTAACAATCACAACCGTTGTGGCCACCCTCTCAACTTGTTCAAACAGCGTCTTGTCGATTTTTTCTACGATCATTTCAAAGGACGAACGGGTAATCCGATTTTTTCTATCTACGACAAAATCAATCCAGTCGTGACGACTAATGAAAATTTTGACTCTCTACTTGTGCCCAAAGATCACCCAAGTAGAAACAAAACCGATAGTTATTATTTGAACAAGACTCACATGCTTCGTGCCCACTGTACTGCCCACCAGTCCGAATTGATAAAAATGGGTTTGGACAATTTTGTAGTATTCGGTGATGTGTACAGGAGAGATGAAATCGACGCCACTCACTATCCTGTATTTCATCAGGCTGACGGTGTGCATATATTTACACCAAATGAATTAGAATTAATCTACGGAACTAATGTTAATGTATTTGATAACGACAAAAACAATTCTAACGATGAAAAGCAAGGGGTTTATTCGAAAGAAGCCAATAAAATTGTTACTGATCACTTGAAAAAAACATTGGTTACGATGATTAAAAAAGTATTTGGCGAAGAAATTGAATACCGATGGGTATCAGAGTATTTTCCATTTACACATCCGTCATTTGAATTAGAAATTAACTACAATGGTCAATGGATTGAAGCTTTAGGATGCGGTGTTATTCGACATGAAATACTAAAAAATGCCGGTGCTGGCAACCGAATTGGTTGGGCATTTGGTCTTGGATTAGAACGACTAGCAATGCCATTTTATTCTATACCAGACATACGTTTATTCTGGTCCAAAGATTCAGGATTTCTCAACCAGTTTCAAAACCTACCCAAAGATGGACGAATGAAATATAAACCAATCAGCATATACCCTCAATGCATTAATGATATTAGTTTTTGGTTGCCCAAGGAAAAACCATTCTGCTCCAATGATTTCTATGAACTTGTTTCAAACTATGGTGGTCAGCTAGTTGAACAAGTAAAACTAATAGACCAATTTAAACATCCAAAAACTGGAAATGTAAGCCATTGTTATCGCATAGTTTATAGACATTTAGAAAAAACATTGAGTCAAGCAGAAGTAAATGAAGTACACAAACTGATTGAAATAAATGCTACACAAATTTTAGGCGTAAAACTAAGATAGTACAAATTTGATAGCTAGATGATTTGACCTGTCCTGACTGATATTTTAGTTTGCTTATAACATAAAATGGATGTGAACGAAACTTTACTTTAACTGTGAAGATTGTAAAATGAAAAGTTAATCAGAAAATTTAACATCATAATTAGAAAATTGTATTTACTATTGGTTTGATAATAAATATTTAACTATATACATACCTAGTCACTTACATTTGTATAAAACTAAATTAAAAAAAAAAATTCATTGAACAATATTATCATAAATAATTGGTAACTATTTAACAGTGTTTTCTTAAATAGTGTAACTAAGATAAATGAGAAATGCATTTTTTTTTTAAAATTATATGTACTGAAATAAATGTTAATATTTTAATAATCAAACAAATATAAATTACAATTATTGTATGTTTGTCTATTTGAAATTCAGTATAAAAAACAATTCAAGCAATGTTGTTTTTTTCTATTGGAAAATGTACATAAGATCTTCTACTGGTTAGAAAGGGAGGTATTGTTTTTAAAAGGTAAATGTTGGAATTTTCATAAATTAAGTTAAATAAATATTCAATACAATGAATTAAATTTAATAGTATATTTTAATAAGGTTCATCGAAAAAAAAAAATGTCCTTTTATAAAATTAAAATAATATATAATATTATTATATATACCTTACATTTATGAGATGTACTCTTTTTGTGATAGTGTGTTATATAATTCAATTTTCTTTAATTAGATATATAATATATATTTATATTATAAATGTAAGTATAAAAAATAATAGTAATTAACTATTATCATGGTAATGCTGACTGACTTAGTCTCAATTAAACTTCTTTTTTACATCGATTAATGTATACAAATAACACAAAAAGTATTTCTTAACAGAAAATAAAATAATTACAGTTCCTTTTTTCAGTTAAACAAATAATAATTCATTAATTAATCCCTGAAAGATTCAGATCAGTTTTTGTAAAACGGTTGTTTGTACATCCAATATACGGACAAGATACAAACATTTTACTCTGGAACATTTGATTAACTGATTCTAAATCGTATATATGTTTGCAAACTTTGTTGCGTACTGGTTTGGTAATTGGTTGTCTTGTATATGGATCCAACTTCCCTACTATCAACTCTTCTGCAATTAATCCTTCAGTAGGTTTATTGAATTCTTCAATTCCTAATAAATGTTCATGGTGTTTATATGTTTTCACACCAGCGTCATAAATTTTAGTTAATATCCCCTGGGCCAATTCACTGTATACACTGAAAAAAACATAATTAAAACACTTTAATCTTGCCTTAATTCTTAGAAATAACAAAAATAATGTTATAATATTTAAATAATGAAATCATCCATTAATATCCTATTAATATTATAAATGCGAAAGTTTGTCACTTTGTTACTCTTTCACGTAAAAACTACTGGGCCGATCTTGATGAAATTTTTACACTGTGTGTATTTTGATCCAACTTAAACATAGGCTAATTTAAAAAGGGAAAGGACCAACCCCGTGAGGTGCTCAAAAGGGAATTTTGAGATTTCAGATGGAAATTTTTGTTTATAAATGATTGCCATGGGTTTTTATGCTATTATAGTAATAATAATAATAGAAAAAAAAATATATATATTCACTTTACTTTTTAAATATAAATTATATTTAATGGGATTAAATAAATTGATTATTTTAATCAACCTTAGGTGGAATTAAGTAAAAACGACAAACATGGTATAATTTTGATACTTCAGAGTTGGATCATACACTTAGGTACAAACAGCACGGGGTCCGCGATCTACCGCAGGTAGGTTGCCTACCTGATAATGTACTGTTGCGATTTAGAATTTTTATTCCGGGCAACGGAAAAGTTAAGATAAATTTTGAACACCGTACACCGAATAATAAACAACGAATTGAATAAAGTTTGAGTCATAACTCATAAGAGTTGATACATTTAATAGGCAACGAAGTGTACGGGATCAGCTAGTATGTATATACATATTTATACATTAATATTTAATCTAGTAACATAAAAAGTTACTTCAATTTTTTAGAAATAGAAGTTACAACTTTTTTGCATAATATGCAGTGATTAGTTAATTAATTTAGAAGTCCGGTTAAGTTTTATATCATTTTACTAATATAAACCCCTTCATAGATTTAAAATCTTTTTGTTTTGTACAAATTAATGTTTTAATAGAAAAAAAATAACATTAATAATAGGAAATATTACTTATAATATTATCTAATATATAAAAAATCTCATCTTATAATTGGTGCCATTATCATTATAAAAATTAACGAACAAAAAATTAAACATAATAATTATTAACTTCTTTTAGTAAGGTTCAATTACTCTTTTTATTATTATTATTAGGATGGCCTCCTTTTCTGTTATTTTCTAACAACTTCTTTTATACCTATGTATTATTTTTATTTTTGTTTAAGTACTAAGAACCTATTTTTTGATCAAATTGGCTTGTTGTGCTTTGGCATGGATTGTAAATAATAAGTTTAAGTGTAATAAAATAAAAAGAAAAGTTACTTATTTTGTATATTAATTTGTTTCTATTTAATTTAATAAGTTAAAAAAATAGCCTTGAAAATATGTACATAAAGTGTTTAAATTTGTATAAGACTTAAGAAGCATACACAGTACACAAGTACAGCTTTTGTTTCAAACTTAACTGAAGGTTTAGGTGATCAGGTAAGTTGATGCCTGTGATTTACTACCACTATTTGTATTAAATAATTGTAAAATGCATGTGATTATTCTCACTCATTCAAAAAATCAAAAACAATATGTTTAGCTTTTACCCCCAGAACGAACCTTCAATTTTGGAAAAAAACAAGTTAAGACTTGTCTAAACCTCACACCTGTTCGGTCAAGTTTGAAACAAAAACTGAACGTTACATGTCATATTTACATCCCAAGCCACTTATTTTAACACAATCAATATTTATAATTCTACAAAATGTACGTCTTTTTAAATATACATTTTATATTTTTAATATTGCCCTCAATGACCATCATACTTTTTTCAAAAATAATCTTATGAAAACAAATATTAGGTACCTAAAATAATAAAATAACTACATCTTGTACATACTTTTTAAATTCGTCGACATTATCAATTTTCAAGTCTTTGTCAATATGTTTTTCTAACACATCATTGTTACAACCAATGACTGATTCTACTCCTCTATCAAATTTACAAGTTTTTTCAATTAACTTTAAGTGGTTTTTTATATGCTCTTTGTTTTGTAAACTGTCCGTCAAACTTAAACATTCATTAAAAGCAACTTGAGTATGTATAATGTTCTTAAAAAGTTTTTCTGACTGCTCTCGAAGTCGTCCAAGTGTTTGACTGATCTCATCATTGCCATTTTTTCCTTGATCGATAACAAAATCCATTTCCATTTCTAATATATAAAAATATAAAATTGATAGGTAAGTTGGAAATAATAATTTAACCATATGAAAAAAAAAATGTTTATTTCAAATGTTAATACCTGAAGTACGTTTCAGTTTGCGAACATCATCCATTAATGAACCAATTACTCGTGCATTATCCTCCAAACGTTTATTGGGTCTAACTGAAGGAATTTTACTATCTTCCAAAACATCTGAAAGGTCAGTGTCTTCAACATGTGCACAGGGCAGGGTAATTTCTTTGCGATATGTAATTTTATTTCGTGCTTTAAGTTTAACTTCTAGTTTACTATACACATCTAACTCGTCGTAGTTGAGTGTTCTTATATTTTCGCCTTCTGCTTCATCTGACGCCATGTCGATACTCGATAATATTTTTAATTAGTAGATGAAAAAACCCTATACAAACAAAATATTAAATATAATAGTAATATATAAACACATAGTAAACGTAAATTAATGAATTTATATTAACTTATAGTTAGAAAACATACAAAACATTAATTTAAAAATCAAGAAGTAGGTAAGTACGATACAACAGCAAAATATATAATATTACCTTACGCTAGTACGTTGGAAAATGCACAGAACTACAGGACAAAGTATAGTATAATTATATTTGCAGCAATAAGGCCAACAAACAAAATTAATGTTTTATAGCCAAATACGTATAAGAACTAAACACAAGGATAATAATCAATAATATAGATTATGAAAGGTTTTCGAATTGGAATTTGCTTCGTTGATTCGCAGAAATTAGGCGATAGAATTAGATTATTAAATACTTAATAGGTATAGTATACTTTTGATTAATACGGAATACAGATTACAGATTACCATTAACCATAGATCTTTCAGTCATTTGGCGCGAAATCCGGTGCCGGCGTCGCGCGACGGTTCATATCACGGTTTAAGATAGATCTTAAACCGTGGTTCATATCTATGGTTCATATACAGCGCAAATTAAGATATCGTGATTACAGATTACAGAATTCCATAGAGTATATAGAGGAGCCCTAATTGAAATGGACGCATATAATGTTCCAGAAAAAAAACGGCCAGAATGTAGATTTGTCGAATGTTTATTTACAGAAAATAATATTACAGAATTGAAAAAAACCAGAATATAAAAAGCCCAGAAAATATTTGAACAGAAAATAATATGAACGAAAATAAATACTACAGAATGTAAACTGATAAGAATATATATCAGTAGAATGTAAACATACAGAAAATAATATTGCAGAAATTCTGCTGAGTGTATTATTCCAGAATGGAATATAACAGAACACAAATTTACAGAACGTTATGATGCATAACAAATGTTTGCATAAAATATTTTCCAAGGAAATATTTTAACTGAAAATTATATATTAGAAAATATATTTCCAGAAGTATACCTATTAACATATTTTAGTTGTTAATTAAAATGCGTGGGTACAAAATATAATTTTTTTACCTATTTCTGTTTTTAAATTAATGACAGCTGCTAATATAGTTATACTAACTAGTACACAGATACTAAAAAATAATTATTCTAAAAAAAAAAAACAATTAAGGGAAAAAATATCAACAATAAAATAAGAAAAAAGTTATTCTAAAAAACTACAGTTATAATTATATTTTGTGTGTAATATAATTGTATATAGGCACCTAACCAGGCTAACCATTTTTTATACCATTCATAATTAAATTTATCAACTCATAGCTAATTATAATTTAATATTTATTATTTTGAGGTATCTACTAATTTATTACTAGTGTTAATATAATATTTTACATTTTTGAAAGACAAAAAACATGTTACAATTAAAGTACTAATTAATAATAATAACAACTTCTGAAAAACTACGCCAACACAAAAATCTAATAAACATTAAATCAAAATATTGTCAATGAAATAATAATTATAAGTTCCAACAGTCATTATTTTCAATGTAAAATAGTTAAAGACATGCTCATTCTTTTAAAAACTAAACATAATATTTAAAAATAAAAATAAAAAGTAGTCATCATAGTCGATGCTTAAGAATAAGTAGGTATTGTTTAAGCTCAGGCCAGAAAATGTCTACTAGATGGGCCAATAATGTTTGGCCCTTTTATTATTTTTCATAATTTGTCTTTATGAAATTCTTGTAGGGGGTATGCAATACAAAGAATCTTGTTAATTTAAATAATTTACCTTTAGTTGGTACTTAATTGGTTAAAATTTTTTTTTTTTCACAACATGTTATACCTATTACTTACCTATTTAAGAATTAAAAAAATAGAAAGTAGGTACTTACCTGATAATAAAAAAAATAAATATAGAATTACCTTCATCTTCACTTATGGGATACATTTTTCATGCTATGAAAAATAAATCTACATACATATTTAAAATAATAAGCTGCTTCAATTGTTCAACTTCTATTAACAAAAATTAATTTATATTTGAATACTTATCAAAAATAATAGGGATAACCGATAAATGATCATTGGTTTTTAAATTAATATAATTTTTAAAGAAACTCAAATTTATTTTTAAAAAAAACACATACTAGTAGCAAACATTAATAATACACTTATACTTATAAAAATATTGAAGCTAGTCTATTATTGTTTCTAACTTCTAGAATATGACTTGAATTAACAAGTCCATCTGGTGTAGCACCTAATAATCCACTATTTTATAACAACAGCCCAGTTGGTATTACATTTACATTTTGGTATTTTACTGGGGCCTTAATACCACAAACATCATTGGTATTACCCCATTGTACAGCATGCACACCTGTAATGTTATTATTATTTAATATTTTCCATTGTTTAAATAATGACTTTGGGAACTTATTTCTTTTACAAGCAGCTATCACTTTTCCAAAATTACTAGCTGTCAATCTATGTTGCCTATAATCACTATAATGAAACCATAAAAGATTTTTTGCCGTCCTGTAGTGTCTTTAACCAACTGTAATATAGTACTGTCATTAATACGGAGTTTAGTGTATAACAACTTTTTAAGAGAAATAAAATATTTTAACTAAACTTCTAATTTCTGGATCAAGAACCATATTACAAATAGTCTCAACTAATATCACATTATTTTCAAATGGTTCTGTTTCCGATTGTAACAACCAAGGAAAACCTACAGGTTCTGCTAAATAGTAAATATTAGATGATTCCTCCTTAAAAATATTTATATCTGTTTCTGAAACAATGGCGTTTGGAAAATCATTACTATCCATGTATTTGATTAATGATTTTAATTTCTGTAGACAAATTATTTTTTCTAACACTCAACAAACAAGGTTTATCAGTTGAACTTAGATTATAATGAGTCTCTAGAAGGCAAGAGCATCTAGAATATTTTGTAATACAATCATCATTCATTAAAATTTCAACCTTATATAGACTACCCATACTAGGTTTCCCTAGACTTTCCCTACAATTATACCTAGATTAGGATCCATTTGAAGTTTGAGTACAAATTCTGAATGTTCCATATTATTATCTAGTTTATAACAGTTGCTAGTTCCAAATAATAAACAGTACCTAAATAAGCAATAACTATATGCAAACTAAATATCTAAATTGAACTAAGTTATTGAACAGTTATTGAATTCGAAATTCGAATTCAGCTATGTTGTATACGCTTATTGTAAGTTGTAGTAATCACTGGTCCGAAGTAGGCAAGTAGCCAGGGCCGTCCCAAGGTTTTTCGGGGCCAGGGGCAAATTAATTTAGGGGCCCTTCGACCATAATCATAAGATATGATAAACAAAATGAATCGCGGAAAAAAAGCCCACGGAAAAAAAGCCCAAAAAAAAAATACACTGAGGAAAAAAAGCCCACGGAAAAAAATCCCAGAAATACAAATATAAATGTGAACAAAATATAATAATATATTATTATATATTATAATGAAAATAATAATTAATTGTTAATTATAATAGTAATAGTCACAGCAGGTCAGTCAATTTTCAACTGTAATAATACAATAATAATATAAATATTTTGTTGGGTATAGTGTGATACTCTCCATATTCACAAAAATTGGTAAAACAAAAGTATAAAATATATAACAAATGTATAACTGGATAAAACTGTACTAGTAGGACGTGTAGATAGTATCTCAATAACCAAGTAATGGAGTACTATATGGAGTGTCAATATTACCCAGTTATTGATAAATTTTAACATTTTGACTGGTTATATATATAAATTATATTGGTAAGTACTGAACAATATAAATTAAATTAAATGTAAAAGTGATTATCAATAGTTGGGTAATAAAAATGCAATTTATTGACAGGTGGTTCATCAGTTCATGGCAGTATCAAACCCTCTATATAATAATATACCTTAATTATATTTCTTAAATTAAAATACATTAAAAATTTTCAATAGTTATATATTATGTATAAGTCATATTTGAAATTTTAATATTTTCTTTTATAAAATTACCTATATATGCCTCTTATACAATTATTTATGATGTAGTAGTATAGTAATATATCTGTTATAGTATAGTAATGTATTATTAATATATTATTATATTTTGTTCACATTTATATTTATATTTTTGGGCTTTTTTTCCGTGGGCTTTTTTTCCGCCTACCAAACAAAATACTCACTGAGAATAACAAAATGTTTGTAAACGTATTTTTCCAAACCTTAACCAATCAAGCACTTTTAAATAAAAAAAAATGTAAAAAAATTTATCTTCAATAAATTTAACATGTAATAATGTATGTAAATAGGTATAACCGTATTATGGGCGATTGTAAATTTCACCGATACTTTTTTTTACCTAAAAAAAAATGTAAATTCCACCAGTACCTACATATTTTTGAACTGAAAACACGTAAACTCCACTGATGGTAAAATCCACAGTCCACAGATTACAACTAATTTTAGTATAGTATAGCTAATATATATTATAGCTACACATCAACTTTCGACTGTACAAAACCTCACAAACATTCACTTATATTAAATTAAACAGCATTAACGAACCTAATTAAGTAATAACCTTAGAAATTCACAATCAAAAACACCCCAAAAATATTTAAGCACCATCATTTCGTCATTCAAGGAAAGCAATATTATTATAACCATTTTGGAATTCGTCAAAGCTGCATCTAAACATTTTCAATCCAAAATTTAAATTTGTTGTAAGTAATCATTTTTTTACTATTAACTAGCTGTTCATTATTGATACATTATAATTAATAATTGTATTACATATATTTTTTATGGATTTAATTAAAATTTTTTTTCAACTAACGTTTAACTATTGATTATTATATCTTTTATTTTAAATTTCTGTAAAAAAAGTTATAAGTATCTAAATATAATGTGTATAAATAATAAATTTGTACATAAATTATGTAGGTAGCCAGGTAGGTGTACCTATTACCTACATATAATGTCACTATTATTAATAATTATATATTTTTTATTTTATTTTTCGATTTATTATTACTTAATAATAATAGTTAACTATAGTTAATAGTGATAATTCTTGATTATTATATGATTTTTTATTAAATTATTGTATCTAAATACAATAAAAATATTATGTAATCTTAGTTAATCAGATTAGATTTGGAAAAACGTATTGGTGGAATTTACATTTTTTTTCATGTAAAAAAACATAACGGTGGAATTTACATGAAAAAAGGTCTAAAAAGTTCGCAATCGGTGGAATTTACATGCTCCGCCGTATTAGTTATAATTACTATTTTAGTATTATTTTATAAGTAAAGGTACATATAATGATACAGACTATATCTTAATGCCTCAATACGAAGATATACTAGGTACTTTAAAGACTAATAGAAATATTAAAATGAATCATTTAATAAAAATAAAGATTAATAAGTGCATTTTTTAATAAATTATTATTTACTAATATTGGTGTTACTGCTATTCGCTATTCACTGTGCTGGTAATTGTAAAAATACAGTGACACTATAGCTGGTTACACACGGAGCGGTTTAGCCGCGCGCGGTCGCGGTTTTTATCCGCCGCGGATTTTCCTTAAAAATTAAACACCTATATTTAAATGGGTACATTCAAACGAAGTAAAATGGCTAGCGGACGACCGCGGTCTTCGGCGGTCGACCGCCTGGAATCGCGCTTGTTCAATTTTCGGGCGGTCGACCGCATCCGCTAGCTAAAATTAAACTGTGGATTTCCAATGGCCATATTCATACGAGGTGGATCGTCCGCCAACCGCCGCGGTTTTTTCCAGCGTATTTGTCATTTATGAATATTCAGTTGACGTGTGTGCACTGAGTATTTTTATTTTAGTAATATTTTAATGTTCCAGCCATTATTAATTAATATTTTTTATTAATTGTTATTAATTCATATAGGTAGAATATGTTTTTTTAGGTACCTAGTACTACCTACTATACCTACAGTCATATTATAATATCATAATTAAATTTTACATTTAAAATGCCATTCGATACCGAACAATTTATTTTAGAAATACAGCAAAATAACTGTATATGGGATAAACGTAAGTATCGTATCGTTTAATAATTATTTTAATAATTAGCACTTATTAATTACACATAGATTAAAAAGTAAAAACATATCTTTCTTTCTATACGTATTATTAAGATATATTTATTTATCTAATATATGATATTATAATAGAGGCAAAAAGTCATCATGATTTGCAACAGCTACATGTTGGTTGGACAAATGTAGCCAAGACTTGTTCTGAAAAGTTTGAAGAACTTGATGACAGCAAGAAGGCAGAAAAAAGTAAGATTTCATATTATTATATACCTATAATTATATAAGAAAAAAAATAGCAATACATTTTGATTTTTGATCAATACTTGTTAGTTTATTACACTTAACATTCGAATTGTATACGTGGATCCTTACTTACTAAGGGTAGATAACAATATTGCAATACTGATGGTTAATAAAAAATAATCATAGGTAACGGTTTTGTACTTTTGTATATATTTTATAAGTCAAGTAACCTCTACATATTTATGAATGGCGTATACAATAAACTCATATGAAATTATAAAATAAGGCACAAAATAAATATAAGCTTAGGTAAAATATAAGTATAAAATATACGTAAATGTGTTTTACAAACAAAATTAGTAAAATGATAAAAACATAATTTTTTGGACATAAGTGGTAATTGGTTTACTTACCAATTATTTTATTTTGCCAGCTAAGCGCATTATTTGGGTGGTTGACATATTTTACAAAATACTCCCTGACATCCTTCGCATTTGTCTGAGCATTGCCAACTCCTCTTCTCTCAGTTATGCTATCCATACCACCATTCAAGCTATCCTCAAAATTAAACCCATCACGGCGTCTCACAAAGTTGTGTAAGACACAACAGGCTTTGGTAATTTTGACCGCAAAATTTGGTTCCACTAGCATGCTCGTTTGAAACACTCTCCATTTCTTTGACAAAATTCCAAACGAACACTCAATGTACTGACGGGCTCTAGACAAACGGTAATTAAAAATCCGTCGTTCGTCATTCTGTCAGGAAACGGTCGCAATAAATTTTTATTGAGAGCAAAAGCCTCATCAGCCACCAGTATAAATGGTTGTGGTACGCCTTGATCATCCCCAGGTAGACATCGTTCGGGTGGAAAGTTTGTTTTATCGGAATATAACTTCTTACCGAATGGTGACATTTTAAAAACATTGCAATCACTTTCTTTGCCGTAAGATCCGACATTAATGATGCGAAAACAATAATTTGAGTCACAAATGGCCATAAGTATAAGTGAAAAAAAATTTTTGTAATTGTAATACAGAGACCCACTATTTTTGGGGCATTCTAGCCGTATGTGTTTTCCATCAACCTGTAATTATTAATAAAAAAATTTTTTTGTTATTTGCTGCAATCAAATTATCAATTTGTTAACCTATATATTATTATTATTAGTTAATTTATCAGGTATAGGAACATGCAACATGTAATGATTTCTTAATAATTTTTTACACATACACACACATTTTAAAAATTTACAGTACCCTCCCTCACAGTACCCTAGGCTAATAGCCTTAGTTATCGAACTAAGACTAACTTAACACAAATAAAAAAAAAAATATATTTTTTTAAAATTGATAATTTTTAAATAATTTTAAAATACATTCTAAAAATGTATAATTTTGTTTTGCATATTATCTACATAGATGTTTTTTTATTTTTCGAAGGTTGATATAAATAACTATCTAATCATTAAAAAACAAATCAAATATTTTTATTTTTATTTTATGTTTAAGACAAGCAAACAATAAATTTGTGTTAGTCAATATATAGGTTACTCACCGCCCCGACTGTATTTGGAAACTGGGTCTTATCGAAATATCCTGATGCTATATCCAGCCAATCATCAGTTGTGGGCTCTGACATCTCAATTGGCTGTAATATATCCCATATAACCTCGCATGTTTCCTGTACTATATTCGATATGGTCGACACTCCCATTAGAAACTCGAAATGTAATGCTGAGAAATGTGTTCCACAAGCCAAATATCTGAATATTATAATATGGTACAAAAAAAATTACCGAAACAACATCGATATTTTTAATGAGCGTTTTAATTTAAAAATGTTACGATATTTGATATCATCCCGTAAAACAACTATATTTCTTAGAAATATTCTTTAGAATTTTGTTGTAATTTAAAAACCTAATACCGTAGATACTATTTTTACACAATTATTTAGGTACCTACTATACATGTACATGATCAATTTTTTTCAATTTTTTTTTATTCTTTTTGAGCTATTTATAAGCATGAGAGACTTTAGACTTTCTTCAGTGGATCAATGAATGTATTAACTTTACAATGATGTGTGTTTTTTTTTTTTTTTTTTTATTAAGACATTGGTCAGAAATTCAGAATATAAAATGTTATAATTTTTTGCTCGGTGAAAAAAATTGAAAATTTTAATACATTGTTTCTTATTATTTGATATTTGTATATATTATTGTGTATTATGGTTGAGGACTGTAACTATTAAATATTTTATGTTTTGGTTTTTTAATTAGTAAAAGAACTTAAAATTAAGTGGAAAAATATTCGAGATGCTTACAGAAAAAAATGTATTACGAAATCTGGTCAAGCCGCTAAAAACAATAAAAAATATATTTACTCAGACATTTTGGAGTTTATGAGACCTACAATGGAAAACAGAATGTAATATACACTTAATATTATATTTTATTATTTTAAACTTTCATGTTTTCTTTTTTATTTGCTTACTTATTATGTTATACAGGACTGAAGGTAATGTTATCGAAAGTGATGAGGATGAAAGAGATGACGATGAATCAATTTTAGTAAGAGGCACGGGTGTTGATATATCAACACTAGACACTGGAGAAGATTTTGAAGTCCAACCAAAAAAGAAAAAAACGAAAAACACGTTTGAAGAAAAATTATTGACAGTGTTGGCAAATCGCCGTGTTGAAGATCCGGTGACTTCATTTCTTATGTCCTTAGCTCCACAAATTAGATCGCTAACACAGGACCAACAAAATGAAGTTTACATTGAATTTATAAAAAGTATAAGAAAAGTTAAAAATTCAAACATTGCTTATCAGTCTCAACCACCATACATTCCTCCTCCAGTGAACAATGACTATCCTAAACCCTCAGAACATTCCTTTTTGCCCAATGACGTTTTCTACTCGTATCCTCAATACCCACCTTACCATAGTGCACCTTTTTCTTCTTCTACTTCAACTATACCAACATCTGCTGTTCAAACAAATGCTTGTCACTCTGCCAATCTTCCATACTATTCTCAACTCAATTCTCCTTTATCCACTCCTCCAACTACATCTACATCTACTCCATCAAGCTCTAACAATAATTATTGATTTTTTTTTTGGAACTCACAGGTAGTGTGTTATGTTTTTTTTCTAATTAAATATTTGGAAAGTACCTAATTTTGTTTTTTTTTTTTATGAACTATTAATATACTATTAATTTGTTGAGTAAAGTACATTTTGTTACAGATACTATTCAATTTTTAAGTATTTAATTTTAATTTGATTTATATTGTTATAACCATCAATGAAATCATGTAGGTATGGAGTATTATTATTATACAATTTGTGTATCAATGTAGTTTAATTGCTTTTTTAATTAAAAAAAATACCAATTCAAAAATATCATGTATTACTTATATTATAATATAGATACCTACTATTTAACAATTCATGATAACATTAGTAAATGTAAATATTATCATTTATCAAACATACATTACGATTTACATTTCTTCTCGTAGAAACTAGAATTATTAAAAGTTTGTAAAGATTCATAAACTTACTAAGAAAATATGTATTAGGTATAATATAGTTGATGGCTTTACCTTAACGTGACAGTTAACCTCTCCAGAGGAGAAATTGAGATACGCATATTTGTATGTTGTTTTTGGAGGTGGTGTCCAGTGAGTAAAACCTGATAATTGATTATATACAAATAATAAATATATATATATATATAAACTTAATAATAATTTATTTATAAGAAATTGTAAACTATTATAACAAATTAACTTACCAGTTCGTCAAAAGATTGAATGCTCATTCGATAATATTTCAAAAATTGTTCAGGGTGTGCTCGTAATGTCATAAAATTTACGTAAAATTGGCCATCTTGTGGCCTTTTTAGATTTAATGGATGTACCCAATAACGCCTTTTTACATTTTTCTGTTGCTTTTTGTGCCTTTTATTTAGAGCATATGCGACGCATATTGCTTCAACATGGTCTAACGTATCCATTGTTGAAAAAATTGTTTTTTAATAAAGAAATGCGAATTATCCCAGAACTAACTCTGGCTAGCGTAGTAACGTCGTGTTTCAACCACGTTCTAAGCTCAACTGATTTTGTTACAAATTAGTATGAATAATAAATTGGCGCGAAATATTTAAAATATAAGTAAACCGCATTCATAATCCGCCTCGTGTGTAAGCAAACCGCGGATGCGGCCGCGGACGTAATAGCGGTCGAAATCAACGTCCGCGCGCGGTCATTCCGCCTCGTGTGTAAGTAAGGCGCGGATGCGGTCGCGGACGCAGTCTCAAAAAGAATCCGCGTCCGTGCGCGGCTAAACCGCTCCGTGTGTAACCAGCTTATGGTATACGTCGACTGACGAGTAATTATGTAGCAACCGACTGGTGCGGCCGTGCAGACTTTGGTTTACTATTCAGAATAGTCTATTCTACAATGTATCGGTTATAGGTTTTTGTCTAAAAATATCGCGTGTACCGTCACCAGCTATCGTGACAAATCGAGCATCGTTATCGCAATCTACCCGCATTCTACTATAATGTATTAAAATATTATTAAGTAGAAACACAGATTTCTATATATTAGTGTAGTATAGAAGTCTGTGAGACGTGAGTAGAAATGGCTGCATAGGCGAGCGGTGCGGTGGAGGATATTGTTTTGACTGCGCGACTGGCCATGCTCTTACGCGCGCATTGTATCACTGTATAAGTATTACATTATAATATTATGTGGATGACGTAAAGACAATAATTTTTCTCTCAATAACTGTGGTCGGCGACAGTTTGTTATTATTATTTATTACATCAAGATTTTTTGGGGGCCCCCTAAAAATATTACAACAATGGGGCCTGGGGCAAAACGGTCCCGTTGCCCCCCCCTCTGAACGGCCCTGCAAGTAGCGCAAGTGCAGTACGAGTAGTAAGTTCTTTATAATAACACTTTCGTTGACTCGTCATCTTCTATCCCCGACCGCCGCTGTTGCAGAGCGGCAGAGCGCCTTAATCTTTATCCGCAGCCCTCTCAAATAATTTCACAGTATTAGTGTGATTAGTTCAAAAATTATAACGAATCAACCTATTATGAAACTTATCGTAAGATTTTAAGAACATTATCTGTGTTCGTTATTTCGTATTATCGTGTTAACGATAATCCAATTTTTGGAAAGGATTGCGAATCAGGCCCATGCGCAGTATTTCAGAATGGGGGGCAAATAGTATTATAACATAGGTATTTATATTTATTATTATTTTGTAAGTACCTATAATCTATTAAAAGTGTTTCTTAATAACACTATAAAATACAAATCATTTTTTTAATAAATTTACATGACGAGGGACAGATCGTTGTGTATGATTATAAATAGGGCTAGGATTTATTTGCAATAAAAAAATTATTAAATATGCATTTGGTTTATTAAAAATATGCAATAAAAATATGCTTAAATAAACCAAATAAATATTATTTAAAAAACACATTTTCTATAAAAAATTTTTAAATACCACCCACAAAAAGGGCGGGTAAGTGGATGTCGCTCTGCTGTACAGTAGGTTACAAGTGAGTCACTGTAATGGATTGTGTTAAATTTGAATCCAATGATATAATATCATTGTATAAGAAAAACGATTCTGAGCGAAGACGGTCAGTCAGTCTATAATATCTTACTAAGTGTATTATGATGATATAATTGAGAATAAAGTAATTAATTTTAGTATTAGGCATTAGTATTAAACTATAGTTGGTTAAATTCATTTTTTCCCAAAAAAATTACATTTTAAAATGCCATTGCGTATATATAAAATATAACAATATACTCTAAAAATTTCATATACCAACAAATAATATTTTTAAATTATAACAAAATAACTAAAATCGTTATTCTTGGTTTAAATATGTAATTTTGTCCAAATTTGAATTTAAAATGTATGTAAAAAATAAATGTGTTTATATAATTTTTAGATTTTT